TTTTCATGTGTCTACTGGCCATTTCTATATCTTCTTTGGAGAAATGTCTATGTAAGTCCTTTTCCCATATTTGATTGGTTTGTGGTAGAGGTTCTTTATATATTTTGGATATTAATCCCTTATCAGATACATGATTTCCAATATCTGTGAGTTGTCTTTTTGCTCCTTTTTTCTTTTCTTTTTGAGACACAGTCTTGCTCTGTCACCCAGGTTGGAGTGCAATGGTGTGATCTCAGCTCACTGCAACCTCTGCTTCCCAGCTTCAAGTGATTCTCCAGTCTCCTGAGTAGGGGGGATTACAGGCTTGGCCACCATGCCTAGCTAACTTTTGTATTTTTAGTGGAGATGGGGTATCACCATGTTGGCTAGGCTGGTCTTGAACTTCTAAGCTCAGGTGATCCGCCTGCCTCAGCTTCCCAAAGTTCTGGGATTACAGGTGTGAGCCACTGCACCTGGCCTTTTTGTTCTCTTGTGATACACAAAAGTTTTAAATTTATATCAAGTCCAATGTATTATTTTCTTTTGTTGCCTGTGCTTTTGGTTCATATCCAAGGATTCAATACCAAATCCAATGTTCAAAGAAGATTTCCTCATATGTTCTTCTATCTTCCTCTCCTATATCCAATCCACAAATACAGTATATCTATTTAAGTCCTAAAATTTCTTCTGCAATGTTTTGTAGTTTTCAATGTACAAGGGGTTTTTTTTTGCCTCCTTGGTTACATTTCTAAGAGTGTTACAGTTTTTAACTATTACGTTTAAGTCTTTAATCCATTTTAATTTTTGTATATGGTAGATGGTAAATGACCAACTTCATTCTTTTGCAGGTCAATATTCAATTTTCCCAGTACTAATTGCTGAAAAGACTGTCCATGTCACATGGTCTTAGGACCCTTGTCAAAAACCATTTGACCATATATGCAAGAGTTTATTTCTGGTCTCTTTATTTTTGTTTATTTATTTTTGAGAGAGTCTTGCTCAGTTGCCCAGGCTGGAGTGCACTGGCTCAATCTCGGCTCACTGCAACCTCTGCCTCCCAGGTTCAAGTGATTCTTCTGCCTTAGCTTCCCGAGTAGCTGGGATTACAGGCTCCTGTTACCTCCCCCCCCACCCGCCCCCAGCTACTTTTTGTATTTTTAGTTGGGATAGAGTTTCACAATGTTGGCCAGGCTGGTCTCAAACCTCCTGACCTCAAGTGATCTGCCTGCCTTGGCCTCCCAAAATGCTGGGATTACAGGCATGAGCCATTGCATCTGGCCCCCTATTTCTGGTCTCTTTACACTGCTTTACTGTAGCTTTGTAATAAGTTTTGAAATCATGAAATGTGAGTCCTCAAATTTTGTTCTTTTTCAAGATTGTTTTGGCTATTTGGGGTCCTTTAAGATTCCATATGGCTTTTAGGATGAATCTTTCTTTCTTTTTTCTTTTTTTAAAATAGAGTCTTGCTAGGTTTTCCAGGCTGGACTTGCACTCCTGGCTCAAATGATCCTCCTGCCTCAGCCTCCCGAGGAGCTGGGACTACAAGTTCATGCAACCATTCCCAGCTGGATATTTCTATTTCTGCAGAGACCATTGTTGAGATTGTGATAGAGATTGCTTTGAATCTGTAGATGGCTTTGGGAAATACTGTTATCTTAACAATATTAAGTCTTCCAATCCACGAACACAAGGTATCTTTCCATTTAAGTCTTAAAATTTCTTCTGCAATGTTTTGTAGTTTTCAATGCACAATTTTTTTTTTTGCCTCCTTGGTTAAATTTATTCCTATTTAATTCTTTGTGATGTCACTGTAATAAAACTGTTTCCTTATTTTTCTTTTTGAATTTTTCATCTTTAGTATGTAGAAATACAAATTGCTTTAGTGTTGATTTTGTATCCTACAACTTTGTTGTAAAAATACTTTTTATTTACTCAATATTTATTTAAAATGAATGAATCCACACATTGATGTGCATACTTGGAGATACACTTTGCAATCATGGCATTAACATCTGCCACAACTTCTAAACAAATATTTTTTATTTGATAATCTACAGAAGGAAGCTAAATGTGGGAAAAATATTTACTTTTATTCTCTAATCATCCTCATATTCCTTTGTCTTCTCAAAATCTGTCATTTCTTGACCAATCGTCCCACACCCCTTCCTTGAAACATGTGTCTCCCTTGGCTTTGGTAACATAGGATTGCCCCAATTTTTCTCCAGTTTATCTGACTACTACCTTTTTTTGGTGTCCACTGGCTCATTCTTCTCCCACTTCCAATTCCCTGCTCTTTGAATGTGCTCTAAGATTTTGTGCTCAGTCCTCTGTTTTCTTCTCTTTGCATTTGCCTTCTTTAGATTCTTCTTTTCCCAAAACTTCACCTATTTCCATGTGAATTACTCCCCTTAACAAGTATACAATAGGTAGTGAGCATATGAAGAGATGCAGAACCTCTACACTAATGAAAGAAATACATATTAAAATGAGACAACTTTATAACCATCAGATTACTAAAATCAGAAAGTTAGATGACACAGGTCTACAATCACATATATGAAACTCCGAAGATGTTTCAAAATACACAATGTCTCATATTTTAAAAGGTATAGACACTGTATATGGCTATACCGTAACTAAGTATATTAACATTTCTACAATAAAATGTATGAATATTCATATTTAGTAGGATAAAGACTATAAGCAGCCTCATGTTAGTTCAGGTAAAATTTTACAGCCAAATGGATTTGATGTAAATTTATATTTTAAAAAACTTAAGGCTTTCAGAGTTTTGGATTTTAGAAGTGGGCTAGCTAGTGTCAAAGAAGCTTTACATACCGCAGATGAGAATGCGAATTACTGCAACTATTCTGAATAATAATCTGGAAGTACTTCATGAAGTTAAATAATGGTAGGCTCCATGATTCAGTAATTCCAGTCCTAGGCATAAACTCTAGAAAAGGTTTGTACAAATGGTAGAAGAGATGGAGGTAACCTAAGTGTTCACAAGCAAAATATAAAGAATATTTACATCAATCAGAAGCAAAAAATTTGGTGTTCATGTAGATTTTAAAAAGCAGAAAAAGATCTGTATTAACATGCCACTTTATAAATTAAAATCACATACATACACAAAAAACAACATATAATATTCAAGAACTTATATAAATATAATACATGGCTGCAATTGAATGGGATTGAGGATAAAGGGAAAAGTAATAAACTGAAAGGAGCTTTATACAGACCAATCTGTATATACTGAGGAGTGTTATCAATTCAACTCCCTCACCCACATATACCGAGGAGTAGTATCAAATCAACTATCTTCATCTGGGGCCCAGAGGGAGCAAGGAAAAAACATAATCACTTTTGTCTACCTATGTATAAATAAAAACCCATACATTCACATGGGCAATGTCATAGATGATGGAACACTTTCATTCCCCATTTATGCTGTAGTCCTAAATACTTAACTGGGGTTGGCATATACTATAATTTTGGGGTCTGAAAAGAAATCTAGCAATAAATTACTTTTAATTAAAATTATTTTTATTACCACCTACGTTCCTTCTTCTTCTTTATTCCACATAAACCTGCTGGAGACTATGACACTGTCATCATCTGGTTGTCAGGTAGAAAAGCAATACCCAGAAATGACATTTATCTTTTGGACAGAAGCCCAATTTCCATTTTATCCTCTCACAGAGTATAAACATATAGCTTTACACTATTTGTAAATTATCATCTCTGACTAGAAAATGCACACAGACTTATTTGTCCAAAGGAGTCTATCAGTAACCCCATTATTAAAGGAAATGCAATTTTTTAGCATTTTGTAAATACCAATGGTATCGAATAATGTTCAATATCTGAATCATTATACAACTTGATAACCATAAAAACGGGGAAGTTCCAGAACTGTATTCTTCCCCTACTCTTCTTATCTTCATACCTAACTATAAGAAAAGCATTAGAACAGTGTCCCAAAGAGTAATCACAATACTTTAATACTTTCTAGTCCAAAATGCATTAGTAGGAAATACTACTCTAGAAAGATCACTCAAAATTTTGAATATGATGAAAGATTTCCTGAGCTAGAAATATCCTATAGGATTTTCATAGCAAGAGGTGTTGAATCATAACAATATATATAAATGATAATGGCCTATCTCCTGAACATAAATAAGCCTCCAGCAGTCCATATCTGGCTCTGATTAAATGTTTACCTAGAGTCTATTAGAGATAATAAACCACATAATGTCCCATCAGCACTGCCTTTATCAGAGTGGTTTTAGTATCTGCTGCAAACTGCTAATTGGGTTGAAGATTATTTAGATATATTTCTAGTACTAAGTAGTCAACTAGGATCTTCAGGAAAAAAAAAAAGGTATTAGAAAATCCACAAGGAAAAAATGAAATGGAAAATTTCTTTGCTTGAATACTTCCAAGTTTCAAGTTCTTTTTATGCCCAAGCTTGCCATACAAATGTATTGGTCTAAGGTTTCAAATCATAAGCAAAGAAATACCATTTTTCTACTTTGCAGAAGGTAAAAAAACAGGGATGTCTTATTGACAAGAAGAAAAACAAAGTCTAAAGGGGCTCTGAAAACTGATACATGGTTTCCACAAATAGACTCAGAACAACTCAAATCATAACTCTTTTTTCCACTTAATCTAATCTCATCTTTCTTTCATAAAACTCTCAACTTTACCAGCAAGGAATGAACTACTTCTCTTGGTAGATAATGAACATGAATTTACAGAAAGAAGTAGACGGACTTTTTTTTTTTTAATCCAGTCCTTACTCTGATAAGAAGTGCTTAAGCAGGGAGGAGTACCTTTCACTTTGTTTACCCTTAAGTTCCTCTCTCCAGTATCATTAAAAAGACCAGGGAAGTTTTATATATACATCTCAACAATTCAAAAGCAGAATTTTTGAAAACCTTAAGCGTGTGTAATTACTTTTAAAAGGTAAAAAGAAAAAAAAGGACACAAAATTATCAATATAAAAACCAACTCACCAATGATGCCACTATCTCTGCTTTCAAGGGTAGAAGTTGGACTAGTAACAGCCCCATAGCTGCAATCCTTGGCAGTTGCATTTGTACTGATGGGTGGGAGTGTAGAACAGGGGCTACTGGCTGGTGGAGAGGCAGTGCTGCTAGTCAGGGTGGAACAGGGACTTATCCGCTGGGTGATTGCTGAGGTCTGAAAAATTGGAATCATGAATAAGTAAGATAACCTGACCGGCTGTTAAAGTATATTTTAAGATAAAATAAATGCTTTGATGGAAGAAAAAAACTACATGCATAGCTCTTGCATCTATTAGGTGCTATTTGTTTTTGCTTCTCGGATAAGGACTTTGGGTGCTAGAAATTAATGTGAAACTTGATGAATTTAACATTAACAGAGACTGCTGCCAATTTTCCGCCTACTAAATTTCCAGTGACAAGTGCCCTATCATTGCCATTCATTAACAGAATAGAGAATTTTTTTTTATTAAATCAAGTTTTCCTTGCTATTTAGAAGTTTTCCTTGCAATAAATAAAACTTTTTGGAAGACCTGGAAGTTTGCATTGTTCCACTGTTCATTCGTTTGCTGGTTCCTTCCTTCCTCTCCCTCCCTCCCTCCTTCCCTTCCTCTTTCTCTCTTTTTCCTTTCTTTTTTTTTTTTTTTTTTTGAGATGGAGTTTCACTCTTGTTGCCCAGGCTAGAGTGCGATGGTGGAATCCTGGCTCACTGCAACCTCCGCCTCCTAGGTTCAAGCAATTCTCCTGCATTAGCCTCCCAAGCAGTAGGATTACAGGCATGAGCCACCACAGTCAACTAGTTTTGTATTTTTAGTAGACAGGGATTTCACCATGTTGCTCAGGCTGGTCTCGAACTCCTGACTTCAGGTCATCCACCTGTCTTGACCTCCCAAAGTGCTGGGATTATAAGTATTAGCCACCGTGCCCAGCCAATAATTTTCTTTAGATGGAGGGGGAAAAAAACCCTACTGCTGGGAAGAATAAAGTTCTTAATGCAAAGAAGTGTCTTTTTGATACACAGCAGCTGTCCAGAGACAATAAATAAAATAAATTTTTTCCAATAAGGCATGGAAAATATGCCTTATTCTAAAAGTTTCTCTAATAAAATAGAATACTATTAATTTAATACAAACCTAAATAACTTCTCTGTAACAGCATTACAGCCTGAGATCACTTTGTATCCCGAATGATTCTTACACTTGAAGTTATTTGCTTCAATATGTAACACTGAAGTTTTAATGTGAAGGAATGAATAATTACTTAAAAGGTTGGCAGTAATATATTCTTAGTTTACCTAAGTGAATGACAATTCACTTTTCTTCAGCTCTTTCTACACAAATAAATTAAAACAATAGTGAATTAAAGTATATATTTTTTCAAACACATTATATCTTTTTTTTTTTTGAGACAGAGTCTCATTCTTTTGCCCAAGCTGAAGTGCAGTGGCATGATCTCGGCTCAATGCAACCTCTGTGGCCCAGGTTCAAGTGATTCTCCTGCCTCCCCAGTAGCTGAGATTACAGGCACCTGCCACAGTGCCCGGCTAATTTTTGTAGTTTTAGTAGAGATGGGGTTTCACCATTGGTCAGTCTGGTCTTGAACTCCTGACCTCATGTTCCACCCACCTCGGCCTCCTAAAGTGCTGGGATTACAGGTGTTGAGTCACCACACCCAGCCTACATTTTATCCTTTTTAAAGTTATTACATGATCAGCAGCAAAATTACTGGAAGACGCACTAATGATAAATTTAACATCTTTAAATGTTATATTTAAAAGAAGCCTTTCAACTTCTTTACATATGGAGTCTATTCATAGCCTTTCTGCTAAAATTGAATAACTGGGGAATATGTTGATAACTAGCTATGTGAATATTAAGGCTTTTCAACTCATCCTAAGATGTTTTCCAGATGCAGTCAATTGTATTATCTGTGCTGAATCTAGGTTTTGATTTTGTATCATCTGTGTTAAATCTAGGTTTTGATTTTAATTTAAATACTATAACCAGGTTACAAAAGATACATTTGACTCAACCAAGAACAGATGACATTTTAATTACCCTCCAACCAAATAGATCTTTTCAATCATATCAATAATATCAGAATCTGATTTTTCTTAGCAACAGAGTAAGCTTTCAAATTTATCCAAATTTCTCTTCCACTATATGTTATCTTTCCAGAGAAGGGGAGAGTTTCAATTTGTTCATAATCTCTATTTTTGTAATATGATGCTGGTCTCCCAGAGCAATGATTTTTTTTTTTTTTTTTACCTTTAAAATCTTTTTTCCCTTACAGAGCAATGATTCTTAACTAGGCACATAGTAGTATCACTTGTGCCGTGGTAAAAAAACAAACATGCAAGCTCTCTCACAAAATTGACAGATACTGAGCCCCATCCAGATTTACTGCATTGGAATCCTTCAGGTTAGAAATTCGGCAAACAATTTTTAACCTCCCACTCCCAGTCTGAGACACATGTGGGCAGATGAAATGAACTGTACTCAGGTCTTTTACATTAGATATAGCTATAGTCACCCCATATTGGAAAAGTTTTTGGCCTGATGTGGTAGCTCATGTCTGGAATCCCAGCACTTTGGGAGGCTTGAGGCAGGTGGACTTCTTAAGGCCAAGAGTTTGAGACCAGGCTGGCCAACATGGCAAAACCCCATCTCTATTAAAAATACAAAAATTAGCTGGGTGTGGTGGTGCATGCCTGTAGTCCTAGCTATTCAGGAGGCTGAGGCATGAGAGTCACTTGAACCCAGGAGGCAGAGGTTGCAATGAGCCAAGGTCATACCACTGCACTCTCGCCTGGGCAACAGAGTGAAACTCTGTCTCAAAAAAAAAAAAAAAAAAAGGAAAGTTTTATTATGGTATGAATCTATTACTTTTATAACAACTCATTTCTGTTCTTAGACAAGATTCTCGCCTGTTCTTTGTGAAAGAAAACTGTATTAATGCATAATATAGATAATGTGGAGGTTAAGCCCAAACAGCGCTTACTTATTTTTACTCTAAGTTGTTTTCTGCAAAATAAAGCACATGTCACAAAATGTATACTTTTAAAGCTTTAACTGTAAAAGTAAAGCTTAAATATCAAGCCATTTAGAAAACAGAAAATTGTTCATGGCTTATGACTTAAAAGGCAGGCCTAATATTTATTTAAGGAGACTAGTTCATGAGCTGGAGAAAGACATTATTTATTCTCTATGCTGTAGGCTAAAATGAACATCTATTTAAGCTACTGCACTTCCTAAACCTTTCAGTGATTGTTCTCCAGAAGGATCCTAAGAAAGCTCCCGATCTGGATCTCTTAAAGGTCCTACAAATACACATAGCAAGAAGCTAAAGTGGAAATTCATAAGATCCATTTGAACACCTTAGAAAGTACTGAAAGAATAAAGTGGTCAGGTGAATGTCACTTTAATGCTCTGTTTTACAAAAAAAATGATATATGCTGACTTGCATTAGATTCTGCCATTACTAGCACTATTTTGAGAATATCATCACATCATCATCTTCTTAAATATGGCAGTTTATCTTTGTTAATACACTGCTTAGCTCAGAAGAAAGTCACCAAATTAACATGACCTCCTACTTCTTGATAATCTTCCTGAGATCAGAAATCAATTTAGCCACTTTCTTGTGTGGTTCCAAGATAGTTTCAGCGTATATTATATTGCAAGAAGGCTATCATTTAGCTTCATTATTAATATTTTACATTTGTTTAAACCTTAACAATTTAAAAATATTTTTATATCTCATTTACTCCTTATCAACCTGGTATGAGAGGCACTTAAGAAATGTGAAAATGAAACCAACAAAAGTATGAAAGTTATAATTTTCCCCAAATTGCATAGTTCTTGCATATATTTATGTACTATGTTGCATATTATTTTATACTTTTTATTTCTATGGTATTGTACAGCTTACAAAGTATTTTCATACTCATGATTTAACTTGAACCTTTCCACAACCTGTCAGGTGGTATTATATAATATTACACTGGAACAGTATGGTGTGGTTGTTAAGAACATAGGTTATAAGAGCAGACTATCTGGACATGAATACCATTTCATCACTTTCTGGCAGTGTGTTTCCAACTCTTATTTGAAAACTGGAATATAAATGAACTCTACTGCACTGGATTGTGAAGAAGTGTAACAAAATAGTGCAAGTAGAACAATTAGTACAATGATTGGTACACAGCAGGTATTTAATAATTATCAGTTATTATTACCTATGAAAAATATAAAGCTCCGACAGGTTAAGTGACATGTCCAGATTTACAAAGTGGTAGGTGGCAGAGTTGGAACTAGAACACAAATTTTCTCCCTCCTGGTTCAATGGCTTTTCTATCATACCATATTGCTTTAATTATATTAAATCAATGATACTGCTCATTTAAGATTATGTTAACCAGTAATGTACAAGTAAGGTACACTCCATAGACTTGTGATTTTATGTAGAAATCACTGTGACATGCAGACTCTCAAGAGCAACAAGTATACATTTTATCATCCAAGGAAATGTAGCTGTGTAGAAATGATAGTGTCCTTGAAAAATACTCAGGTTATAAGATATAAGACATCATGTTACCTGGTCATTATTAGAACAGTCACATTTTAACTTGACATGAATATCCAGAAATGAAAAGTAAAACAGATGTTTTACTGATTCTAATTTTTAAAAATCCCTCAATAATCTCATTCCCATTTTTTATTCACAGAGCATAGCATATTGACATAGTTACATTATAAACTGATTTAAAAAATCATAAGCTCTGCCATCATGAAACATACATTCTTGTCATGAGGTAAAACAACCTTGCAACTAAACACACAATGTAATAACAGTTAATGGTAAGAGTTATGAAAATATAAAGTAGAAGGATAAGCGGATATAGGGATGGGCAGGTGCAATTATTAAAAGAGGAATTAAATGAGACCTCTCCAAGGAGGTAACATTCCAGCAGAACACTGAATAAGTGAGAAAGTGAGTTATGTGGGAAGAACAGTAGAGTACAAATGAATACAGTTGATGTGTCTGGCGAAAGACAAGGAAGCCAATGTGGCTGGAGAGCATGCACGAAAGGGAAAGGGGTAGGAAGTGGTGTAGGAAAGGTAGCAAGGCTAGATCAGGTGCGGCCTTCCAGGGCATGGTAAAAATTTTAGGTTTTATTCTAAGTATGATGGGAATACAGTAAAAGATTATAAGTGAAGTGACAGAATTGGAGTCACATTTTACAAGGATCACTCTGGCTACTGTGTGAACAGACTACAGGGGTGGCAAGAGTGGAAGCAGAGACCTATCAGGCAGCCATTTATTCATATAATAATACCTATTGAGCACCTACTAATGAAAGTAATGTTCTAGGTGCAGAGAATACGGCAACGGGTAGAATAGGTAAAAATGCCTTCTAGCCTTACATTCTAGTGCCTATTGCAGCAGCACAGTCAAAAGATGACAGTGGCTTGGACTTGGGTATAGCAGTGGGAATAGTGAGAAGGGATCAGACTGAGTACAACAGAGTCTTTGATTTGCTGAAAGAGTGAAAATGGGTCTGACGGAAGTCAAATGGCTCCAGTGCTTTTGTCCTAAGCAAGTAGGTGATACCATTTATTTATATGGGAAACACTGCAGAAGGAACCAGTTCTAGGGAGAAATGCAAGGGTTCTGTTTTTGACATGTTAAGTTTGGGATACATTTTAAATATTAGGTAGAAAATATAATGTAGAAAGCTAAATATACGAATTTCAAGTAAAGGGGAAAAGGCAGGGCTAGAGATAATTAGGGAGTTAAGATAGTATTTAAATAAATAAGAATGAAGAGGAATCAGTAAGATTAGAGTCACCATGTATCTTAATTTTACAAAAATTTCCCAGGTAATGACAGTGTGCAGCTAGCAAAACCAATAACCTAAAGAGTGAGGCTTGAGGAGAGAGTCCTGAAAACAGCTGAACATATCCATATGATACATAAATATATTCAAATAATCCTTGTATATCTCATTGTGACAAATGTAATATATGATATAGAATCTTCACCAATAAAAATACGCAATTTAAAATATGTCACCTTCTGAATAAAACACTTCACTATCAGATATTCATGTTGAAGATTAAGACCATATAAGTGAATCTGACTCTAGTACTTTCTTTTGCTACATTTAAACTGAAAAATTGAAAATAGCAATGACAAAAGAGAGAAAACTATAAAATATTTTTAAAATTGCTGATTTTTTTTTGCTTTCTGAGGTGGAAACTTAGAAAAATCCCTAAATACTTAGATATTGAGTGATATACTTCTAAACAGCCTCTGAGTCCAAGAGGAAATCACAAAAAAATTAGAAAATATTTTAAACTGAAATAATAAAAACTAAGTACAACAAAACTTGTAGGATGTAGCTAAAGATGCGCTTAAAAAGAAACACTAGTTTTAAATTTGTATTTTAGAAACATAGAAAATCTGAATTAATGATCCAAGAAATCTTTTAGATACCACTTTCTAAATCATCATTTTGTAACTGATAAATTCTACTGTGGTCACAGTAGCTGGATTCTTTGGAAATTTCTCAAGACCTGCTCTACGGCTCAGCATATCATCGAATTGGTAAATAATCCACATCCACTTGAAAAGAATATATATCCTGCAAATTTGGGGTGCAGTGTTTATATACATGTCAGTTTTGTTGGCTTGCTCATTCATTCATTCATTCATTATACCAATCAAAACTTAAAAGTGGATGATTCATAAACTGAAGAAATAATTGTGATAATGGAAAATTAAGTTGTATTCTAGGCCTTAAAAGGCATTCAACAATTGGGATTATTTCTGGCATAATAAGCTGATTCACACCATGTTTCACAAAAGTGATCAGCTTACCTGATTTTCATCCTGTACTTCCATGCTGTATTGGTCACCTGGCTGAACTTCTGTGACTTTCTCTCCAAGGAGGAAACCCAGACGAGTCATGAGTGTGTTTGCTGCCTCATCTACAGATGGAGGGGGGCCAAGCTCTTGTTCAGCATCACCTGTAACAAGAAGGCATTGAAGAACATGAATCTTTCAAAATAAAACAGTCTAGTTCTGTAACTATTTGTACATTCACTTTGATCATTTCTTTAGTTTTCACATTTTAACTCAAATATTACAAGGTTATGAGGTTTTTCTTGAACTACTCACTTTCAATATAAATTTGTTTCCAAATAAAAAATTTATAAGAATCAAATAAAAATGAGCCAGGAAACTCAAAATGATTACAAATGTGTGGCAGAAAAAAATTTTATCTAAAATTTTTTTGAATTGACTTACTGTCCACATGTATTCAGAATTTATTTTAAATTCAGAGCATTTAATCTCACCTTGTAACAATCCACAGTAGCACAGATTTTAAAGGAAAATATAAAAATCTTTCTATGGGGTCAAATATTTCCTTTTAGCATTATTAATTGTAATGTCATATGATTTGTTGCCAAAACACAACAGCATCATGAAACACAATCATATCCTATTGTTTAGGATATTTAGTATTACACAGTAAACCACTCCAAATGCCAAGAAAGGTATGGCCTACATTGTTATTATTCTATTTAACATTTATATTAACTTCTCTAATAAAGTCACAAACTGGGAGTCAGAGATAGGGTATATGTGTATTTTTGCATATTAGTACTGAACTCAAGTGTTCTATCTGTGGAAAATCTCTATAGAACTCTCACTGAATCTATGTCAAAGTAGAAAAACAAGGCTCTATTCTTCCTCTCCTATTATCCTCCCAGAGGTAACATAGATTTCTTTGCCACAAAAGAAGTAAGAAAATCAGTGGGGATTTTATATTATAAATATTTAGATACTTATTTTTGTCTCAAGAATAATTGAAAGCTTCTTATTCCTTAATAAAATGAAAAGGTAAAACTACTCACTGCAAATTAATAAATAACACTTTCCTCCCTCTTAAAGGTTAAACTAACCAATTTTTTGAAAATTTTTCTCATCATAGATTCCAGACCTCTTGGGGCTCTGTTTCACTGTCTCCTATAGAGTTACTCTGATAATTACACATGGTTAATAACAGATATGAGAATTTATAGAACATGGAGATAGTCAATGACTTTGAAAATTTTATAATCAATATGAAAAATAAGAGTATATATTTATTTCACATATACTTATATAATGCTTATGAGTAAGTCACTAACATAAATGCTTCACATATATTAGCTTACTTAACCTTAATAACTTTAGATACCATTTTCTAAAGTAGAAATTATTACCCTCATTTTACAGATGAAAAAATGGAGGCAAAAAGAAATTAAATTATTTGCTCGAAGTCACCCAACCAGTAAATGGTAGAGCCAGGATTACAACTTGAGCTCCCTGACTCCAGAATCTATGCTCCCAATTAGCAAGACACAGTGTCATCCTCAGTGGAAAGAAATGTTGCAAATGGTGAGGATGTCTAAATAAGACATAACTTATTAACAGGCATATTGCTTATAGTATGTTAATCTCAATAATCCTAACAAAGCATGTTGTAAACATTAAGTAAGGTAATCAAACAAAGGTTCTTAAGAGATAACTGCAACCCTTTCTACATTACTACTTTCAGTACTTCCAAGTACTAATGCAGAAAGAAGTTCAAGAACTCTTCTGTGGGTGGCTATATTAGATACTGCTACCACACCAGGTCCTTTTCATTTGGTTTGACTGGTATTTTTACACCTTGCTAAGTCTACTTTTTCTCTTCCTATTTACTTACCTTATCTCAAAATATCATTTGAGGATGACATTAATATGACATTATTTGTCATGCACTTTACAATGAAAGAAATCTGATACCAGGTTATGGTATGAAAAAACTATCTTTGGCAATTACATTGGTTTTGAACCTTTCTTATTTGTTGATCTTGAGTAAAATTTTACACATTATGAAAAGGGCTAGTAGATGAATCAGTGGAGGATTCTCAAGTAACAGACAGGGACCTAATTGTGAATCCATCCATCTTAAGTCTTAGAATAACAATGGCTGCCTCTGTCTCCTCTTCCTTAAAGTCTTCCAGGATTCCTGGTGGAAGAAAGTAGAAACAGTAGGGGCACCTCCTTTCTAGTTTCTAGATTATAGACTTCCCTGTCAGTACCTTCTTCCCAAATTCATTTTCATTTCCTATTTTAAAATAAATTAAAAATAGTTCCTTCTGAAAACAAAAAAGAGTGGGGCTAGGCGCAGTGGCTCATGTTTGAAATCCCAGCACTTTGGGACGACAAGGCAGCCAAGGCAGGTTGATTGCTTGAGCTTTGGAGTTCAAGACCAGCCTGGGCAACATGGTGAAACCCCAACTCTACAAAAACTACAAAAATTAGCCAGGTGTGGTGGCATGTGCCTGTGGTCCCGGCTACTTAGGAGGCTGAGTGAGGTGGGAGAATTGCTTGAACCCAGGAGGCTGAGGTGGCAGTCAGCTGTGATTGTGTCACTGCACTCCAGTCTGGGTGACAGAGCAAGATCCTATCTCAAAAATTAAAAGCTATATAAATATATATATTTTAAAAGGTTGGAATATCTGAAATATATTTTGAAGTTGCTCTGTAGGATCAGATAAACATCTTCTCACTTGTAGGAATTTGTTAGGTTGGCGCAAAAGTAATTGCGGTTTTTTCCCGTTGTGGCACCATTAAAAGTAAGGGCAAAAACCAAAATTACTTTTGTACCACCATAATAGTGTATTCAAATACTATTGAAATATGATCAAAAAAATTCCTCCCTCCAAACCATTTCCTTTAAAACATACTTGAAATGTCAACAGGTCACAACTTTTCATTTTTTCCTACTTACTGCACATTGATTCTGTATTCTTCCCTAAATACTACCATTTTCTTCCCTTTTTGTTTCATTTCTATTTCTGATTTGCAAGTAACTGTTATGATAAAACCTCTCTGCCTGCAAAATGAAGACTTAACCAGCAGAATAAAGTCTGGTCAATGGAATAAAGATAGCCTTTCTCCCCCCAGTTACAATGAACAATATGGCCATTTGAAAATTACTAAAAGGGAAGGTTTTTTATGGAAATAGTGGTAGCTTAAGAGAGATAAATCCGTGCATAATCATCAGGGTTACTGAGTTCTTAATTTTTAAGAACAGAGAAACTGATTTTTAAAAAAATTTAAGACATATTTAAGACATAAAATATGTCAAATAAAGAAATTATTTTACATATTTTAAAGGCTGTCTGGTCTTTGGAGGCAATGTACATTTTAGAATGAGTTTCATCCATATTGTATGTATCAAGTCTTTTAGGGTTTTTTTTGGGAGGGGATTATGGTTTTCCATGTTCATGGTTTTTGTGATGATATCAATACTCCCCAAATCAATCTACCAATTTAATGCAATCCTTATCAAAATTCCAGTTGCTTGCTTACTTGTTACCTTTCCTTCTTCCCTTAATCTTACAGAAATTGACCAGCTGACCATAAAAATTATATGGAAATACAAGGGGCCCAGAATTAATAAAACAATCTTTAAAAAAAGAGTTGGAAGACTCACATTTCCTATTTTCAAAATTTGTATAATGCAACAGTAATCAAGGCAGTAAGGTACTGGTAACCGACTAGACCAATGAAATAAACAGTCCAGAAATATACTCTTAGAATATGGTCAGTTCGTTTTATTTTTTGGGGGGGTACAGGGTCTCGCTCTGTTGCCTGGGCTGCAAACCTGGGAGGTGGAGGTTGCAGTGATTCGAGATCGTGCCATTGCACTCCAGCCTGAGTGACAGAGCGAGACTCAGTCTTAAAATAATAATAACAATAATAATAATACATACTAAATGATTTCATTTATATAATGTTCAGAAACTGGTAAAACAAATAATCGATGATGACACTCAGAACAGTCGGTATATGTTTGTAGGGGAAGGATAATGATGCAGAGGAAGCATGAAGGAAGCTTCTGAACTGCTGAAAACATTCAATATCTTGATTTGAGATGTGTTCACTTTATAAATTTTCATAGCAAGACATAATTTTTATTTGGATTCCTTTCTGTATTTATTTATATTTTAATTTTTGCAAAATTATGGAAAATGTATTAAGGACTTAGGACATTGACCTTAAGAATGAAACAATATTCTCAACAATACTTGCTTATGCTTTTTTACTCTAAGAAACAAGTCTTAAAATTATGAAAAAAAATAACACACATATATATATATATATATATATATTTTTTTTTTTTTTTTTTTTTTTTTTGAGACGGAGTTTCGCTCTTGTTACCCAGGCTGGAGTGCAATGGCGCGATCTCAGCTCACAGCAACCTCCGCCTCCTGGGTTCTGGCAATTCTCCTGCCTCAGCCTCCTAGCACTATATATTTAAGCTATTTATTTAAATACTATTTAAGTTGCTCAGATCAGGGATACTAATTAAATATCAGGAAACTTACTACTCTAAATGATTAGATGTTTTGATTTAAAGCTCCTGTCTTAATAAAAGACAATTTTAGAAATCAAGAGATTTCAAGGAAATTATATATGAAATATGTTACGGTTTAAATAGATCCTCAACTAGCAAAAACTTTTATGTATTTCTTCCCACTTAGGAAAGAATGCACCAAACACATTTGCTTTTTTTTTTTTTTTCTGAGATGGAGTCTTGCTTTACTGCCCAGGCTGGAGTACATGGTGCGACGTCGACTCACTGCAACCTCCGCATCCAGGGTTCAAGCAATTCTCCTGTCAGCTTCTGGAGTAGCTGTGATTATAGGTGTGCACTACCATGCCTGGCTAATTTTTGTACTTTTAGTAGAGATGGGGTTTCACCATGCTGGCCAGGCTGGTCTCGAACTCCTGAAATCATGATCTGCTCACCTTGGCCTCCTACACTGCTGGGATTACAGGCGTGAGCCACCGAGCCCGGCCAGCATTTCTTTTTAAAAAAAAAAACAAATGACAAAGACCCAGTTTACCAGATTTACTTAAATTTTTAAAAACCTTTTATATATTTAGGGAGCACAAGTGCAGATTTCTCACATGCATATATGTC